CTTTTGCCAGTGAGTGGTGTGCTCAAATGCATCTGTAGGAGTTACAACAAGGTGCCCACATAATTCTCTCATTAACTCATGTATTATTGTTTGCGGGATGATAAAACTTATCATTTATAATAATGTCACATGATTTATGAAGAACTTTATATAATTGTGCTAAGCGAGGAAGATGGAGTCTTTCAGCTTCATCATTTGAAGATATGCACCTATCTAGGTTGAACATAAATGGGCCTCGAAGCTCATTGGTTGATGGGAGGAAATAATATTTCTTCATCAAAGTGCAAAGTAACTTTGGTTTTTTGACATAGTAAAGTCTAACTCCAAAAAGGGTACTAGATTTATCATTAGTACTTAAACATTCAACATGGTAGCTTCTTCATGGGATGAGAAGAAATGTATATTTTGGCTAAAGAATTGGCTAGCACCAAAACTCTAGTCGGTGGGTTGCTGGCACGGCCATGCCCAATCCTGCTGAGAGTAGAGTGAAGAGAGCAAATCGGTTTAGGAGGGAATTTTCATTGGGTCAATGTGAATAATATAGGTATTCACAAGACTCAAGAAGAGCTTAGAGCAAGTGCCCAAAAAATTTAGAGAGGATAAAACCAAGGAAGAAGTAGAAGGAGGAGATTAGGATAAGGAAGCTGGTCATTCTAACATAGATGATGAAGATATTACCTCCTGAATCGAGCTCATGAGAAAACACTTAAAAGAGGAGGAAACAACGAAGAAATTCTTTCACTTAGCCCATTAATTAAAGGATGATAAAAAGTAATACGTCAGGCTTTTTATGGTTTATTACTAATGAATGCCTGTTTGAGTGTGCCTGTAATAAATATGGTTGATTCGACTAAGCCAAAGCCACATTGGGATAAGTTGAATGAGACGACCAATGTCTAGATCATACAAGACTTGGAAAATTTCTTGTTAGGGCTGATGAGATTGACTCTACATTGAGCCACTAAGTTGAGCAATTATGAGAAGCAACAAGATCAGAGCAGGAAGCGAGAGCACACTAGTTGAAGGAGCAAACTTATGACGTATTGCTAGTTTTTTATTCTGAATTGTAGGAAATTAAGGTCTTAATGAAGAGAATTGAAGAGTGCTTTTAGGTTTATGCATTCCTCAAAAAGATGAGGCATAGAGAGAGGAACTGTTGAACAAGCTCTAAGTTTATGATGTGCAATCGATGACTGAGACAATTATCATGGTTGTTGTTAAGGGTGAAGTAGACAACCTAAAAAAAGATTTGGTTGGTATTTATCAGTTGAAAAGTTTACTTTTGAAGGGTGATGGTAGAAGAGGTGGTTATAGATGAATTGTCCAGAGAGATTTAAACTTCTTAGTATAGAAGATGATTTATGTTTTCCTTTTTATTTTTCTTATTTTTTTTAATTTTTTTTGCTAACTATTATTTTATTTTGATTTGATTGAAAGTTTAAATTTCAACAAATGATATAGTTTGTTTATGCAATGAAATGAAATGACTAGTTTCTTGGTTTACTTTCTTCTCTTTGAATCTCAATGAATAATTCTATTTTGAGCAATGGATGAATATCAAAGATTTATTTTATGAACTTCATCTTCGTCTTTATTAAGGATTGTAAGGAAATCATACGCTTTTATTTTCTCCATAAGTTTAGGGGCACTTTGGGATCTTTTTTTTTTGTTTTTTATTTTGAGTTTATATTATATTTTGTTTATGTTTTGTTTTGTAATGAAACATATTTGGCATGTTGAAAACAAATCAACTTATCTTTAAAAATACTCAAAATATTTTTTAGTTATTTCGAGTGTTTTTAAAAATAAGTTGATTAAATTTTTACAAGTAAAAAATAAAACATAGGAAAAACTCTTTAAACAAATATATTTTTAAAAATAAAATAAAAGTAAACAAAATAAAAATAAAATTAGTCTCAACTTGTCACTTGCTGTCTTTGCATTTACACTCCACACATCAATCATTTTGCTCGAAAATATCTTGTTATTGCTAAATTTTTATAAGTATGGTAAAATAGTTAAGTGATGATAATGCTTACTACGCTTGTGATAACAAGCATGGTCTAGCAATGCACATTATTGAGTGAAATTTTTAAGATTTGAATATGCCATATGGACTCTCTTTTAAATTGTTTGTGCAATGTTGTGGATCAAGTATAGGAATCTATTATGTTCTTCAATCAAATTGATAGCCCAGGCATTTCTAATAACATTATTAGTACTATGTAGAAAATTAAGTGTCACACTTTTTGGTTGATGGATGGTATCACTTAGGCGCCTGATCTTTTCTCTTCCTTGGATAACTATTTGAATTGAGTGAGATCATTGGAAGAAGTTCTCTCCATTAAGTTTATAGGATGTAATTTGTTTAGATGAATGCTCCAAGGAGATACATGGAATGATGATATGGCTTAGTACGGTGGAGGGACAACCATCTTCTCTCCCATCTTTGCCTGATATTGTTAGGGCATTCTTATCGCTTTTGACTGTTGTTTAATGAGAAACCATCTCTTATACTATATTGGAAACAAAATTCAAGAGAAGATTGATGATAATAATGGAATACTTCTTTGCATAAGCGGGCTTAAACTTGACCTTATAATAATAGACTGCTTAGGTGAAAACAAGGAAGAAAACAATACATTCTAACACAAGAGACATTTAAATATTAGAGCGGGTTATTTATGGATTCAATCATTGGCCTCTCTAGAATCACTTCAATCTTTTTAATGGAAGTCGAGTTTGAAACATGTACCATTTCCAAAAATATCCCTTTTCATACATATCTAGTTCAAACCTAAGTTTAAGTCATCCAAACAAACAAAACTTACTTAAATCTCAAATTTCTGAATCTTATTGTTTCAAAGATCGCATATAGAAAACAAGATACATTTAGATTGTTTATTTCATACTTAAGGTTAATTCAATCGACAAGATAGAAAAAAATATTCATGAACTGTGCCAAATGTCTAACCCAAACATCAATTTATTAGGAAAAATTAATTCAGATTTTGATGATAATTTTAGCATGCTTATAATTGCTCCATAGAAAATTTCATATCACCTAGCCATTGTATCTCTTATGATAAATTTTCTTCTATATTATATGCTTTTATCACAATTTTTTCTAGCTTGAAAATTCCAAATAATATTCAAAATGTTTTAACAATTCATGAATTGAGGAATGTTGTTCTTGAAGAAATTTAGACACTTTACAGAAATGGTACTTTGAATCGTTAAATTCTTTTCAGTGGTTAAAAAAGAAAACCCTGTTAGTTGCAAGTGAATTTTCAATGTGTATTACAATGAAGATGGAACTATGTAACAGTAGGAGGCATGACTTGCAACAAAAGATTTCAATCAAACTTATGGTATTCATTATCAATATACCTTGTTTTGGCTGCTATTCGTGAAAGTCGTCTTAGATGGTTTGGTCATATTAAACGTCGACCATTAGATGATCCGATTAGGAGAGTAGATGTTTTAAATTCGACTTGTGTTAAGAAAGGCAGAGGTAGACCTAGGAAGACTTGGGCTTATTGTATTAAAAATGATCTTAATTTACTAGAACTAAATGAAAATATGACACTAAATAGGACGCAATGGAGAAAAAGGATTCATGTAGCCGACCCCACGTAGTGGGATTAAGGCTTTGTTGTTGTTGTTGTTTGTTTTGGCTGCTAAAATGCACATTATGAGGGTAATTTTCTCTCTTGGTACACATTTAGATTGATTTCTCCATCGACTAGATGTAAAGAAATGTCATCATGAATGGGAATTTACAAGATGAGGTTTATTTGACAATCTCACCTAAATTTAAAAGCAAGAGCAAGTTTTTAGTCTTAAGATATCATTATATTTCATAAAAATAAATATTAAGAGATTAATTTGAGATATTCACAATGGTGATTTAAAGGCATGGTTACACTCAAGGATACGTTCACAATATATTATTTATCGATAAATCTTCCGAAGGTAAAATTTATTTCTTGATCATATATGTTGATGATATCATCTTGACAAAAGATTATGAAAAAGAAATGAGCAAGCTATAATGTGTCCTTATAAAATAATTTGTAATCAAGGAGTTTATTTATTAAAATATTTTTAAGATGTAATGTTGTTATATGTGAAATAGTTCTGTAGTATTACGCGATGAGTATTTTATGGAGAGTAGGGTAAATTTTATAGATATGCTACTACTTTAACAATGTTATATAAATTCAAGTGTGTTGTATCAAGGAAGTTGTTGAAAGCCAACTTGAATGTGATGAATAATCATTTTTAAGATGTATGCATGATTAAATTTTTAAAATTTGAGTAAGAAATGATTCTGTGATAGGTAATGTGATAGCTTCTATTAAAATTTAATTGTAAATTGATTTGTGTTGCTCAGGCATGAACAACGTAGTGCAAAAAATGCATGAATAAAGGGATACATAAAATGTGAAAGGCTTTGCTTGGAAAATAAGCTTTCCTATTGTGATTTGATTAGTAGCTTTAGAAAGGCTTAAGCCAAAGTTTATATCTGATGTTGGGGCCAATAAAAACAAATGGTGAAGCTGGATTCATAAAATTGGATTCAAATATATAGTATAGGGCTACTTGTGATCTTATTTCGATCCAATTTCGTTACATAAATTGATTCATCTCTTATATTGCTCTCCTTGGTTGCATTTTACAAAAGTTTCAACATTCCACTGATTTACACACTCTATCTCTTTCTTCATTTTGCTTTAGTATCAAATGCATTTGATTTGTAAATCAGGAATGCAACGTATCTTAAACAGAATAGTTTGACAATATGCAGCCAACATATCACAGTCTCCCGAAAATTTCATGTAAAGAGAAGTTTTTTTTATATCAAATATTTTTTATAGTGATATACTTTTGTCTTCTGTGTAAAAATATATATGTTGCAGTCTAATTTATCAGGCATGGTTACATTAAAACACATGCAGTGCCTTAACACCCTGTTAATTATTTGTGTGAAACTTCAGATGTCTTCGTTGTGGCATTAGTTCGAAGGCCACACCACACATGCGCCGTGGCCCTGAAGGACCGAGGACCTTATGCAATGCTTGTGGAATTGCCTGGACAAAGGTAGATATTATTGGCTTGGTTTTTCTAGCGTTGTTTAAATGGAAGAATTATTGCTTTTAATGTTCTGCATGTTTTCATAAATTTCGGACCATGTAAATAGCCTTAGATTCATTATTTTCAGATTGGTCGAAGTTTTACTTTATTTATGCAAACTTAGAATCTTATTAATGCTGATAATGTCAGTTTTCTCTACCAAGTCATAACAGTATTTATCTGAACTATTCTTAAAATTATAGCTATAACACATATAGTTTCGTAGGGACAAATTTTATATTGAAAGTTAGATTCTATTTTGAACCTTTTTCTTAAATATCGATGGAAAAGAGTCAATCTTGCCTTCTAGTTGGAGCTCAAGTTAGTGAAATTTGGCAAAAAATTAAAATCATCTCGTGTGAAGTTAATTTATTTATTCAGCTCTTTGTGTAATTCTAGCTGTACATATCAATAACTCATGAAAGCATATGCTATAGCTCATGATGTAGGTTAGCGTACTTTCTATGTGATTTGCATAACTAGCCTACAACAAAGCAAGATAGTGTGTGTTGTGTGCACTCTAGCTAGGAGTGTCAAAAATTGACCCGACACGTTAACTTGACCCGTACTTGACTCGAAAAATCTGGGTTTTGGTTGATTCACGAATTCAAAATTTTCCTAAAATTGGCAGCCTAACTTGAAATTGACTCGAAATCGACCCGCCAACCCGAAATTGCCTTGAGATTGACTCGAAATTGATCTAAATTTAACCTGATTTTGAGCCGAATAGTTATTATGTCTTATGTTAAACGGGTTATACGGGTCGGTTTGGGTCAACAGGTTAAAGATGGGTTGGGTTTTGGGTTTGATTTTTTTACTGGTTTAATATTCGGGTCAGGTTCGAGTCAAGCAATTTAGGATCCAGTCAATTTTGGTTCATACTCAAACCAAACCAGCGAACTCGATTTGATACCCCCTAACTCTAGAGAGCGCATGACGTGCAGCGTATTGATTTTCTATTTTCGCTTTGGTTTATTAGTTTATTTCGACTACTTGAATAAATAAGAAAATTTTATTAAGGCTAGGCATGCTATAATATATTTATTCTAGTGTCTAATTGAAGCAACATGACAAATTTATGAGTAAAAATATTTACCCTTCACTGTGTCATTTGTAAGGTTTTAGCTAGTGCTCCAATGTTGCATGATAATCTTAAGAAAATTTTGCTGCATGTTAGACATAGGATAATGATATTTTGCTGTTCAAGTTTTAGCTAATGTCTCATGCAAATGCATTTATTCTACTATCTAATTGAAGCAACCTAGTAAATTTGCTGGAGTATTGTATGATAACTTACTAGAGAGCTTGAAAAATTTCCAGTCAATTATCTAGTTATATTATTGGATGCAAGGCATGGTTGTCTTATTGATGCACTAGTTAGGAATGCCCCTGTCCTTATGTTGAACTTATTATGTTTTTTTCCCTTTTTCTCGCATTTATCAATGAGAGGGTTAGTACTTTCCTTGTAAGTGTTTTTTCTCTGTATCTTTTTTCGGGTTAGATAAACATTCATTTACCTCCCAATGCTTTTCCTTTGAGATTGAAATGACTTTCCTCTTTTTACATGTCCTTGCTTTTACTCTCTGGCTTGTGGATATGAATAACAAGGAAAGCATATTAAAAAACACAATTATAATTAGATGTGATTGATAAACTGCATAGAGTTTATATGTATAGAAATACTTACACACACACACACATAAACTCTATTCATTATTTAACTTCTTGTTGTCTGCTTGCTATATTAAACATGTGCTCTTGTATTCATGGACTAATGAATTAGATGAAGTTGAAGGATGAGTTTTTTAAGATGAGTTGTGGTCCTTGTGGATTAAAGATATTTGAGATAAGATTAGCAGGGGTCCAATTAATTTAGTAGATCAAGAATCGTTTGCTGGTCATGTCCATCTCAAGTTGATTGAAACTATTTTTTGCTCTTATTATTTCACCCCTTTATTTCCATGAATAATTGGGCTTTATATGTATCATACAATGCTATGAATTCTTAGGGCAACATTATGAAATTTGTATGATGCTTGTAAATTTGCATGGCCCTTTGTGTACATACTTAATATATTAAAGCAAGATTATGCTCTATTTTTATAACCTTGATATTGTCTTTTTTGCATTATGATATATATTTATATATATTTTTTTATTTGAATCATTTATGATTTTTTAATGTCTCATGCTATTTTAAATTAGTTTGCAATGTGTTATGATCTCTATTCGCCATTGACAGGTATACTTCTAGCTTCTCACTTAAAATTCTTCCACTTCTTGTTTTGTAACGATCTTTGCTTAAAAAATTCATCTAAATTTAAATCATAGATAGTTGATTAAAGATGCTTTAATTATCTTAGTTCAACATGGAGTTAAACTTAGGAAGATGTGTCTTTTTAGGCATCTTCTTTTATATAGTTTATAGAAAAAGTATGTCACTTGAACTTGCTAATGTCAACTTTATTTTGCATTTTGAGTGATACACCTCTCTCTATATATTTTTTTAACAAATAATGAATAGTTCGTTAAAAAGTATTTTTAGTGAGTGGAATTGGACCCCTCTAAAACTTTCAACTAATGAGTTGAGTTGATTGCAATATATAGGCCTTCTATCCACACTAAGCGTCATGGGTATAGATCGTCGTACCAACCTTGATTTTGTAGGGTTCCAAGTCAGCCATATGAACTGACTGCCATTGGTGTTGAGATCTTGATAGTGGAGAAAGGAGGAGAGAAAGTTCAAACTTGAAGAGCATCCCACCCTCATATATTAGTAAGGTGATTGTCTTGACACTGCAGTGGTATGAATACCCTGCCTTCTTGCTATAAGTTGGTTGTAGTATCTTAAGGATGAGGGCATCTCAATTGCTTGATAACAGTCTAAGGTGATCTTAGTGACGATGAAAAAGGTTTGGAGGGGTTTAGATTTGGTGTGTGAAGGTTTCTTGAGGAGGCTGAGAAATACAATGTTGCATGGACTTATTTATGGAGTTATGGGTTTTGTTGTGGACTTGGGTAATGCTCGGATTAGGTGCAGCTGAGAGATGGGGAGGGATTATTAGTGTTTAAAAGGCTAGTAGTGAATGTATGGGAGTGGTGGTGAGGTTGGACGTTGCCTTGGGTTGGTAGAGAGAGTCCAAAGTTGAGAGGAGTTAGATTAGGTAAACTCAAAGTAACTTAGAGCAATTTTCTTTTCACCTTGGGATGGCTTCAACAATCTCCCCAAAAAATGCAGAGTTGAAAAGTTTGTAGCTGTGAAGGTAGAGATGCATGTGAGGGCACATGTAAAAATGTATCTTTATTTTCTTCAAGTGAGTTATTCTATAATTTCTAATGCTTAATAAATCATTCAGAAATTAAAATATCATATGCAAAGAAAACATAGCATAAACTATTTTTCGAGGTAAAATCAAAAAAGGAATATTTTGTCTAAGTTTTCAATTTAGAATTTTGCCTGTTATGATTGCGGATAGCAAGGGAAATGATTTCAAGATAAAATATAATCAATGCCATTATATTTTCAAGATGAGTACTTTTGAAGAATAACTAACAAATTTATTAATAATTATCTCAACTTGTTATACATAAGTGAATAAAGAATATGAATATCATGTGAGTGTAGTATCATATCATAAATGATGTGTATATGTGGTAGATCAAGAGGCTTCAAAAACAAATCATCAATGTTAATGTACAACTCAATTTTCTTAATGGGGTTTAACAAATTTGGTAATGATGATCTAATTTTAAGCTCTTAATCAAGTTGTATGTCACTAAAACCAAGTAGCTTATCAATCAACTCAAAGTGGTGTGTTTGTGTTAAATATGGTAGACTAAGGATCTTATGTTCAAACTAGCATGTGTTTCTCTGGGGTTAGAGGTGTAAAATGAGGCTTTTCAATGAGCTCGCGAGGTGATGTGATAAATATTGTAGTTAAATGGTCTGAAAGCATAACATTTATATGACTCTTCACAAGTGTGAGGTGTAGCATTAGGGGTGAGCATTCGGTCAGCTCAGATGGATTGGTTTTAAAATTGGTTCAACCGATTATTTCCGAAATTAAGAATTTGAAAAAAATTTTTTGATAAATCCGAACCGAAATTTAATTCGGTTTAAACAGTTCGGTTATGAACAAACCGAATTTTAATTCTTCATTGGAATTTGGCTAAGAACAAGCATTACAAATTATATATTTTATCCACATAATATCAACTTAATTTCATGAATCTTCTATTTTTTTTAATCAAATATTACATATGATAAAAATTTTGATTTTTTTAGTTTATTCGACATGAAGTAAAATATAATTAAAATTTTAAATAAAATTTTGGTTTTTCGGTTTGTTTGGTTAAATGAAAATTAAAACCAAACCAAAATTCAAATATTAAAGCTTTAAAAACCAAAAATCGAAATATAATTTTGAAACCAAACCGGACCAACTAAACTTGATCGGTTCAGTTTGGTTTTTCAGTTTTGACCAAATAATGCAATCCATCTATGATCCCTTCAGAAGCTTAATCGACAAGAATGATGAATCGCTCTTTTTCAAAACAGGCACGATCTTTGAATAAGTTCTTAGGTAAAAAAGTAGCGCTCAAAAGAGAAGTAGAAAGGGTAAACAATGCCTCCCATTTCCTCTCCTAAGAATAATGAAAAACAAGCTAGGAGATTTAGAGATAGATCTGAAATGAGCTATAAATTGTCGTTTATAATAAACAGGGATGGAAAGGATAAGCAATCAATTTGCTCAAATATTTATTTCAAAAATTCATAACCATTATAGAAGATGAATTGATTACAAGTTCTCAGATATAAAAAAAAAAAAAAACTGTCATACCGCAAATGGCGTATAGTTAAGATTGAAAAAAAAGCAAATCATTATTTTTGACATCATCCGAAGTTAGCCCCCGAGCGAAGAAGCCATCGAAGAACCAACCTACCTCTAGACAAAAGGATATCTGGATTACTTAATTTGAGATGATGTCGAAAATAAGCAAACTTTGTCTTCATCACCTACAAATTCCATTGGGTATCGACGGAACTTTCCTCCAACGTCGCCTCCAAACAGGCAATCCGTTCGCGAAATTTCATATCAACCACCACCTCTATGACCTCTTTATCGGTGATATGTTTCCTAGCATTCAATAAGTCCCCCAACATGCTTAAGAGCTCCCTCAAGCTATTTTGATCCATAGGGGGACCGCTTCTACCTTGTGTAAGGTACCAGTTGCAAACCCATAGGCTTTTAGGAGCAGACATCACTTCGGGGATCGTAACGACATTCCCCTCAGAGATCCGATTAACAGCTGACATGACCTGCTCCAACAAGATCTCAGCTTTCAGAGCTCCCAGGTCTGAGCCCTCTACATTCCTCTTGTTTGTATTCTCTTCTAACAGCAAGGGATCGAACTCGAAGAGAAAAGAAGCTTCAAAGTCATGAAAAAATGTTGTATTACCTTCTAGAAGCGGACCAGCACCACCTTAGTTAGAGCTCCGCCTTCCTCAACACAATTTTTTGAAGGGACTTCTTCAATCTTAGGAGAATCTCCAAAAATTGCCGCCAGAATAGCTCGATGAGCAACAAAATGATCTACACCAATAAAACGAAGAAATTCATATGAAAAACTCATAGATTCTATAACCTAGAATTAAAAAGCATAATGTACTTACCATCAAAACCAAGTCGGGATAGACTATGGGATTGGATTCCCTTTTTCTTTTGAACAAATCAGAGGGCTAACCCTCCACCAGATCATTTAGATCAAGGGAATCCTTCCCAACGGACATATCTTAGAAGGAAGCGCCATTATTTCACTATCCGACGCGGCCTCATCCCCAGCTGGATCTGAAACTTTCATTGTCCCGACGAGGACACATTAAGTTTCTTCTTCCACGGAGCTCTGTTATTCAGAGGATTTACTCCTCTTACGCGATTCTTCCCCCACGGACTTACTGATCATCTGTCTTTTGCGAAAAATCCTATCTTTAAGGCGTTCCCTTGAGATCCTCATCTTATCAATAGTAGCCTTAACCATTGTAGGGTGCCGAAAATAAAGAAATTTTTGAACTCATAGCTAGAAGCAACCCTTCTTCAAAACGAAAGCTTACGACTTCTACACAACACTTTTATAAACCTAGAAGGGATTACACCCTCAAAGAGATTATATAACCACCACAATTAGTGTTATTTTTAATATCCCACTTTATTTTATTGGGCAGCATAACGGTGTGGCAATAGACATTCAAAACACATCTGCAAGCTCGCGACAAACATAATATGATGCTTATCATCTCACAGAAGGAGCTCCTAAACTACCCCTAAGTTTCATCAAGAATAGAGAAGTCTCTAATCCTACACTTTTTTTTTTTTAAGTCGTATCTCATTCTATCAAAAAATTATTCTAGACAAAAGTAACTCAGGTGACTGGCTTCCCTTATTCGTGGATACAAGTCAATTATGTCTCAAGAGTCAAAACAAAAAATTCAAAATGAATCTTAAGAGACTACTTCCTATAGGTGTAGCACAAAGTGCCCTAAGGAGAAGGCCAATCCTGACTTAATGATGAGTCCACACGATTTGACTCCTTGCAGATACAACCGAAACGCTCCTAAGATAAGGACAATCCATTTCCGAATCACATTGCATTATGGCCCCTTGGCCCTTTGATCAAGCTGTAGATTGTGATAAGTATAGAATGCTTTTGTAGTCATGCAAAATCGAAAATCTTTATTCTCTTGTTCTTCTCGTAGTCTCTGATCGAAGAGTCAAGAGATTAGAGAAATAAATATATACCCAAATATGACCATACTCACTTACGTAAAATTTCTATATGGATATGACATAAGATCAAGAGGGCTTATGATTCTCGAAGGCCCATATAAAAAAAACCAGACAATTCTCACAAATTGAGTCTACTTGCCGAAGTGGTCGAGTTGAGCTCATCTGTCGAAGTGATCGATCTAAGCCCACCTGTCGAAGTGATCGATCTAAGCCCACCTATTCCTGCCAAGGTTATCGAACCGAGCCCACGTGCCAAAGTGGTTGAATTAGCTCGAGAGAATCTGGCTACCGGAGAAGATCATCATTGCATACATGGACATGTATTCTTCATTATTTAAAGTGCTATCTGACACCCACATGTTCTTCTCATCATGACACCCACGTGTTCTTCTCATTAGGACACCCTGACCCACAGTACTGTAGGGATGTAATTTTTTAATTCTTTTATTTTTTCTTATGTATAGGAGGCATTGAAGAGGTATGCATGGAACCTGTGGGAGAGACTGATCAATCAGATGCAAACACTCTCACCCAAACCAAAAACTCTTCCTCCTAGCCATTTTTTTCGTGCCCCCTGGGATTCATGGAATTAAACAAGAACACGAGCTCTAGTAGCATATCTATCATCTTTTTGCACCTTTTCTTCTTAAAACAGAAACTTTTCCGGGTTGTATAAACTCATGGACAATTAGGGATGCTACATCCTAAAATGACTCAATAGTTGGGTACATGTCCTAGTGCTCCATTAGGTTTATGATTTTCAATTCAGCCTCCAAAAAATAAATAATATTAAGTTGATTTTAAATCTTTTTTAGTTTCTTCCATTGAAAATTCTCATCTATTATCTTATGCTCTTTGCAACTTTGTAATAAAATTGCTAAATTGTTTTCTGAATGATGGTTATTCTAGACTTTGAATAAACAGGGTAAAATGAGAAAAGTGATTGAATCCGATATTCGCAGAGAAGATGGAACTGTATTCATGGCCCCACAAATTGATACGGAATTCGAAAGTGAAGACAAAGCATATGAATTTTATAACAAATATGCAGGATTTGTTGGTTTCAGCGTCAGAAAAAGTTCATCGGATAAATCATCTGAAAACATCACCAGATCTCGAACTTTTGTTTGCTCAAGGGAAGGCTTTCGCAAAGATAAGAAAGGCGCCAAGGAAGTGAAGCGGCCTCGGCCGGAGACGAGGATTGGCTGTCTCGCTCGCATGACTATAAAAATCACACCAACTGGCAACTACCGTGTTACCGAATTCATAGCAGAACATAACCACCAGCCTGCTCCACCATCAAGCACGCACCTGTTAAGATCTCAAAGGATAACAATGGAAGTTCAAGCTGCTGAAGCAGAGTTGTCAGATGATTCAGGTGCTACGCCAAGATCCGCGAATGAGTCTACTGGAAGACAAGTCGGCGGTTTTCGTAATATTAACTTTCTTCCTGCAGATTACAAAAATTATCTGAGTTCTAAGCGTATGAAAACCATGCAGATGGGCGACGCCGGTTCTGTGTTGAAATATTTGCAAACCATGCAACTTGATACTCAGTCTTTCTTTTATGCCATACAGGTTGATGAGGATGATAAAATAACAAATTTTTTCTGGGCCGATGAAAGATCTGTATTGGATTTTAACTGTTTTGGCGATGTTATATGCTTCGACACAACATACAAAATAAATGGTTATGGAAGACCATTCGCCCCATTCCTCGGAGTCAATCATCATAAACAAACTGTCATATTTGGCGCAGCTTTACTCTATGATGAATCAGCTGAATCTTATAAATGGCTATTTGAAACTTTCAAAATTGCAATGCATGGAAAGCAGCCGAAGACGATAATTACTGACCAATCGATCACATTAAGCACCGCAATAGCTGACGTATGGCCTGGAACAAGTCATCGGCTTTGCGAGTGGCATGTCTACCAGAACGCCGCCAAGCACTTGAATCATGTTCTACAAGGTTCGAAGACTTTCGCGAAGGATTTTAGCCGATGCATCTATGATTTCGAAGAAGAAGATGACTTTTTGTTATCATGGAGAACCATATTGGAGAAATACGATCTCCGAAACAACGAGTGGCTGTGCAAGTTGTTCGAGGACAGAGAGAAATGGGCTTCAGCATACAATCGCCATATCTTTTGTGCCGACATCAAAAGCACTCTGAGGAATGAAAGTTTGAGCAGCTTGCTCAAAAAATACTTGAGCCCGCAGCTCGATCTTCTGTCATTTTTCAAGCACTATGAGAGAGTCGTCGACGAGCATCGCTATGCGGAGCTACAAGCCGACTTCCATGCAAGTCAAAGTTTTCCTCGAATTCCTCCTTCGAAGATGTTGAGGCAGGCTGCAAATCTCTATACTCCAGCAGTATTCGAAATATTCCGAAGAGAGTTCGAGATGTTCATGGATTGTATGTTGTTCAGCTGCGGTGAAGTTGATACGATTTCCGATTATAAAGTTGCCGTCGCTGAGAAACCGAAAGAACATTTTGTGAGGTTTGATTCGAGTGATTGTTCTGTTGCATGTAATTGTAGAAAATTTGAGTTCATGGGAATTCAATGTTGTCATGCATTGAAAGTGCTCGATTTTAGAAATATTAAGCAGTTGCCGCTGAAATATTTTTTGAAGAGATGGACGAAGGATGCAAAGGTGGGGAAGACGAAGAATGGTGAGTTGGTGACAAATGAATGTGAGCCAAAATCTCCTACTTTGAATTCAATGCAGGCTCCGATGTCATCATATGGTCAGCACCAGGGGTTTCATGGCATTAGTCATTTCAATCATGTAAGGCTTTATAATGATCTATATTTTATGTTTGTTTTTTGGGAAGATTTAATTCATGCCACTCATTTTCTATGTATTTACATGCCCAACACCTAAATTTTAATTTTTTCTTACATTCCACCTTACCTGTGCATGAAAAAGGTGAAATTCATGTTTTGAAAGTAAAATTGGTGGTATTTTTTTATCTGATATGAAAGATTTGGGTGGTATAAATGCAAAAAGAAAAAAAAAAAAAGGTGTTAAGATATGTAAATACATAAAAATTGGATGGTATGTATGTAAATTCCCCGTGTTTTTATACTTACTGAGATGATGTTCTTAGGATTCTCCCGTCTCTGACCTGCATCATCCATTTCATGCAAGCGCTCATTAGTGTGACAGGTAAATATCACTCTATACAACCTATACAAGTGCAGTTTTTTGTTTTTTGTTTTTCAATGTTATCTGATTTTTAACACAGTTAAATATTTAGGCTGTGACTGCAATGCATTACATATTTTTGGTCTTAGTAAAGTCTTGTGAATAATGGAATTGAAAATACTTTTACAAATAAGAGGCAAGATTAGGGCAGTAAATCAGTCGAGTAAGGCTCGAGTCACCCTCATCTTGAGTTGAGCTTGATTAAGCCTAAGCTCAAGCTTAATTCTATAAGTTCAAGCAGGGTCATGAACTGGCTTTTTTTTAATATAAAAGAGAAAATAATATTAATCCAAGCTGCTATTATAATAAAATGACAAATAGAATGAACAATTATGAGATGAATAATAAGGAATCACTTGATATAAAATACTAAATATCATTTTTTAGAATAGTTCTAATAAATTATAGATAGCTTTCTGTTTTTATATATTTTTAGTGTACTTCATACTAATTTATTTTTAAAGGAGACGGCTGACGACCTAATAAGTTGAGCCGGGCCTTTTCCCATTTTTGATCAAATGAGGCTACAGGGTTGATATCAAAACCCTAAATACACCATATAACTGCTCATTTGTTATTGACTGCAGGATTTCTCTGTTCGGCAAACCTACATTATGAAGGAATATCAAGGCATTAAGAGCTTTGGATGCATTTCAGTGGCACAAATAGCTGCTGCTTCTTCCAAATACTCCTAAAAAATGATTGTTTCCTCTGCAACTGTAGTAGAGTAGTGTTAAAAGTTAGTGAAAGAATGGGTGCGTCAAATAAGAAGAAAAAGCAGCGCCAAGTAGGGTCTCATATTTATATTTGCACAATATATACATCTAGAGTTGTACATATATTAGCAAATGTGTAATTGAAAACATTTTTGTCTTGCACTTATGTTATCATTGTTAGCATGAGAATGGTAATGGATTGTTTTATTAATTCCATTTTTGCTTTTAGGAGCCTTATATAAAAGGTGGACTTTATTTTTCTTTGACATAGTTTGGGCAAATTGCATTTTAATGCACGCCTCAATTATCTATATATTATTCTACAAATCACACAACTGCAAGTAAATTAGAGCCAGAAATAACAAGCAAATAAGATCTTCCCATCAGCTCTCAAGAGAAAGAATAATCAACCTAATCGTTCAGACTATCATACATCACATTACATGGCCAATATTACATTACCAAGTGCCACACAAACCATGCAAAGTTCCAGCAGAAATGTCAAAAAAAGAAACAATTATACATGCCCTAATTTCCTACGATGATATGCACGAGCACCTTCGTCTCTGAAGAAAAAATTGGCACATATCTTACAGCTAAATTTACTTGAATTCCAAGCTAACATTGAGGGCAGGAAAAGCTTTAATTTGACCAGACATGTATCAATCCTTGTTTGTTTCCAGTGTAGATCTCATTCCTATCCTCATCATAGAACAATGCTGTAACATCTTCCAGGGCTTCACGAACGCTACACCTAATGGAAGATCTACTCGCATCTCCTCCTTTCCGCGGACTCATCTGTATTAATGGGTCATTTGCTGATATTTTGGCGATGCACTTTCCAGTAAGAATATTGCTCATGTTGATTGATCCAACCGCAGAAGCTGGAGAGAGCTAAATCCTTAGTTATAGGTGTAAATTAGAATGATTTACATATATAATACTCAATTCTAATGCATTTACAAGTCTAACACCTAAACTTCAATTTTACATACATGCCAACTTACATATAATGTAAAAAAGCAAAGTTAGGTGTTAGATATGTTGATACATAATAATTGGGTGGTTGTATGTAAATTCCCCAAATTAGAGAAAAAAAAATGAGAACATAACTTTACCTTCATCTTCACAGCCTTCTGATTTGCAGTACGAGATTATCAAATCCTGGTCACTGGTAATATAGATGTTGTTTGTGTTACAGTCAGGGTGCCACAACAAGTGATCATCAAAGGAGGTGACTAATTCTCCGCGGAAATTCCAAACTGCAACCGTCCTGTTTCTAAATGTCAAGAAAAGATGATTCTCATAGAGGAAGATGAAAGCCGAAGGAGTCACGAATTGTGTCTTTCCAACTTCAGTTAATTCTGAATTCCTAACCTGATCGAAATTAGAATAGAGTGAAATAATGTGGCTGGAGACCACAAATCAAAAATTAGAAGGGTGAGGATTCAAATCTCCTACATCTAGAATCTGAAGATTTTCATTCTCTTGCTTTACTAGAAGCTTTTCATTGAACTGCTCGATGAAGTCGACTTTTTTGTTTCGGTGTAACAAGTGATTGAAAGACTTCAAAACTGTGCCATCTTCAATTGAAAGAATCTTTAATGGAACAAAACCAGGACTTCTACGACATATCAATAACATGATCCCCGGACTGTGCGAAATAATCAAATGATTAGAAATTTCAAGTTAAAAACTATGAAAAAGTATGCGAGTCTACAAAAGAATTTTTTTGAAGCGTCACACCTGATCTTAATCTCCTGTACATTTTTATCAGATATGGAGTACAAAAAGGAGTAGTTCTTTAGGTCGAAAACCTTGTATATTCTGAAAATGAATGCATAAGGCATTAAATCAAATAGCTTGAATTATCATTTTTTCATTGGATCAACATTATATTTATAGCTTACCCATCCTGAGCTGAATAGGTAAGAACTTTGCCATTGACGTCGTCAAATTCAACAAATCCTGGCCATTTTAGAGATTCAGTCTCAAAAAGCGCGAATCCAGCATCAAGTTGATTCCGCCTTATATATCTGTCAGAATTCAACCATGAAATAAGATATTTGGTCAAGGCTTAACCAAAATATTCATAAACTCTAAACATCACGGCAAATAAAAGAAGCATCGGTGGGCACTGATCAACATACGATAACACTACGTCCTGGTTCTGCAACTTCCTCCAAGGTGTACAACATTAACTTTTGGAGCAGTGAAGCCCAAACAGGAGTTAAAATAAAATAATTAGAGAAAAAATAAGTCCGTATGCATGCATATTAAAAGAAACAATAATGCATCACACGGAAAGTCAAAACATCATCAAGATATGGGTATAGCAACTTTGCATATTGAGAAGAAGAAAAAAATCAAGCCACTTACTCTATTGGAGTGGTCCTACATTTCAAAGAACTGAAGTGGTCGGAAGCATAAACTGATACTGTGATCAGTGATTCATTGTTCTTGTTATAGAAAAGACTTCTAATTACTTCATCAGGGCTTATATTCAAGAAGCATATGCGTTTGTTAGTTGCTGCAAGCCAACCAAAAAAAAATTAAAAAAATACGGCAATCAGAACTGAAGCAACTAAATCAAAAGGCCGAAAAAGAACCTTAACTTACTGCGACTAAAGGCTGCACAGAGACCAGACTGAGCAAGAGCAAATATAACGTCCTTTGCAGCAACGATCTCTATGATCTTAGATCTCTTTTTGAGAAATTGTAATTTTAAAAACCAATGAACATTGTGATCGTAGGTATCAAATTCCTCCTGCATCACCAAGAAGATTCATAAATTTTAGCTTGAAGCCAACACAGAGTTTGGAATTTGGTTAGGTACTTAGGCCGACAGGAACTAGCAAGATTTTTGCTGAAAAAAGACATGCACAAGGTCAGAATTACTTGAATATACTACATCTCACTAATCAACTAATGAGAGGCAAATGATCTACATATTCAACATCCGAAAATAGGTTTCCATGCTATAGAGTATAAAAGATGAGACAAATATAATGGGTTTAAGGACTGTTTAATGCAAAATAATAAGTAAATCATCAGAAGGAACGATGACAAAATGAATATTACTGGCAAGAAAACTTGATATCGAACTGTAGCTCAAGCCAATTCACTACCATATCAATTTTAGCCACACTCCAAAACAGTCATCTCATTACAGAACAACGAAGAACATCTTCTCTTTGACAAATTTTAGGTACACTCCAGAACTATCATCTCATAAGAGTAGTATGAGATAATGACGATGAACAACCTCTCACAATGATTCGAATGTGCCTCTGCATCAAAGTATGGCGTATCAAAAATACCAAAATAATTGGTAAGAAAAAGCATTCAGACAAAATGAAAATAGTACAATTAGCTAAAATACCTTGCACTAGCCTAGAGAAACTTCAGAAAAAAGATTTACCAAATTTATCAACCCAAATTGATTTTAGTGTGATTGCAAGAAAAATAGTTTAACTTTGAGCATTATAAAACAAGGTGTAGCATGAGATTAAGAGCCTTCATAATTATTGCATTTGTATATGGGATCAAGTACAAGGTTCCTATAACCCCACTATAGAGTATAAGATATGTACCTACAAATAAATATGTTTTTAACAATTTAGAAGATTTTAATTAAATTTTTAAAAATAAATCCCTCATTCAATGCTTTGATAAAAAAATAGAACAAAACCTAATGATTGATTTTCTATGTAAGAAATGCAAATAGCACATGATAGGGATGAATGAAAAAATGGGGTGTAATTGAAATTGAAAAAAAAATGATTTGATTAAAAATAGAGCAAACTTAGAGATTGATTTAGATTTAACAATTGCCAAATGGCAGTTAACAAAAATGAATGGAATAATAAGGTTTGTGAAGCTAGCTCAAAGTTGCTAGGATAAGGCCATTGATTGGGATGAGTTGTGCCGAAGAAGTTGGGATAAGGCTCACAATGATGAAAGCCTGTACTTAACCCAAGGATAAAGCGTCCCACACTTGTGCTTGTATGTTATTTGTTGGGTGACAGGACGTCACTATTACCTACCATAATGGCGATCAACAGCTATGAACTTTCAGAAATAAATAATCAAGTTAAGGTATAGAACATTTGGAGATCATGTTAGGTAATGTGGAGACTCAGTCCACCGCAATTTAATTAATTATTGTTAATTAGCTTCCTAATTAAGAATCTCACCTACCGCTCACCTTCTTTCTCACCTACCGCTCACCTACCACATTTCACCTACCGCTCACATACCTCCCACCTACCGCTCTCCTAGTTTCTATAAATAGTCTCTTATGGCTTGTCATTATGACAAACCAAGCAAAATCAAGCAAAGTCAGGCCAAGTCAAGTCCTCTAAGAGAGAAAGAGAGGAAAGAAGAGAGAGGGGAAGGAAGTGAAGAAAATAGAGATTTTCTTGTATGCGTCAAGAAGCTCGACGGTGTAATTCCTTGAAGAAATAAAATCATCTGCAGCTCTGTAGACGTAGGCAAATTTGTCGAACCACGTAAATCTGTCGCTCGGGTGCTTTTTTGCGTGCAATTTTTTTTCGTTCCATTTTTCACTTTATTGTTGTCGTTTTTCACAACAACTGCTATCAGAGCTTTGGTTCGGATCTAAGAAAGAACGATAAGCGGAGACGAAGTGATGACATCGGAGATCGAGACGTTCAATGACACATTTTGTCTATGGGAAGAAGATTCATCTTTTGTTACTGGGAAAGCGACCGAACAAGATAAACGAGACGGAATGAAATCTATTGGATCGACATGTTCTGAGGGTTATTCGATTAACGCTGTCGAGATCGGTTGCCCACAACGTCATCAAGGGGATGACTAATACAGATCTCATGACGGCTTTATCAAGCATATATGAAAAGCCATCGACGAATAAAAAGTACATTTGATGAAAAAATTATTCAACTTGAAGATGGCGAAATGTCTATGTTGCTCAACATCTGAATGATTTCAATATTATCACAAATCAATTGTCGTCTGTTGAAATTAATTTTGATGATGAGATACGTGCGCTGATATTGTTGGTTTCATTGTCAAATAGCTGCGAAGCCGAAGCCATGAGGATGGCCGAAGCCATGAGGATGGCAGTTAGTAGTTTTGCAGGTAAATCTAAGCTGAAATATGATGATATTCGTGATTTGATTTTGGCTGAGGACGTGTGCAAGAAGTTGAAAAGATGCGCAGGAAAGATTTTAGCGAGACCTCGGGTTCAAATTCGACACTGATTGTTGATTTCATAAAGAAATCACAAAAAAAAACTCAAACAGAGAAAAATCAAAATCAAAGTCTGGTTAGCAGACAACTGCTGAAAATGTGGCAAGGCTAGCCACATAAATAGGAACTGCAGGAACCCTATGAAGAAAGAGAAAGATGACACTAATGTTGTAACTGAAGAAATACAGGATACGTTATTGCTGACAGTTCACAGTTGTGTTGATGACTGGATACTGGATTCAAGTAGGGCTGTCAAAACGGTTCGTTGTTCGCGAACAGCTCGTGTTCGGCTCGTTAAGAAGCTCGTGTTCGGCTCGTTCGCTAAGTTAGCGAGCCGAACACAAACAACACAAACAAATAATGACCACAAGGCTACAAAGATTTATAATCAATTTAAAGTATTAATGAAGAAAATAGAATAAAAATTATTAAATTAGATTCAAATGATGTTTTAAATCTTACCCCAATCCTTAACATCTTATGGCTATGTGATTAGGGTTGTCAAAATGACTTTTTATTCGTGAACGGCTCATGTTCGGCTCGCTAAGCAAACGAGTCGAACACGAACACACTTTTTGAGCTCGAAATATAAACGAGTCGAACACAAGCTGAGCCTGAGCTCGCTCGTTTTCAGCTCGTTTACACCCCTAGATTCAAGGGTTTCCTTCCATACATCTTTTCGCCAGGAGTTAATGCGAAATTATGTTGCAGGTAATTTTAGGAAGATATATCTGACTGATGGAAAAGCTCTGGACTTGGTGTGGATAAGAGATGTTGATATTGAACTCTCTAACAAGAACAAATGGACTTTGCAAAAGGTCAGACGCGTTCCTGAGTTAAAGAGAAATCTCATCTTTGTTGGGCAGCTCAATGAAGGTTGTCATTCGATAGTGTTCTAAAATAGCACCTGGAAGATTGCCAAAAGAGCATTAGTATTAACTCGGGGTAAAAAAATTGACACATTGTATATGACTACAAGTTTACTCAGATGTAGACACATGAGTCAGAAGTGCATTATGGGGAAGCAGAAGATCAATTTCCTGAAAAGTGACAGAGCGCCAAAAACAGAAAAATTGAATATTGTACAGAGAAATAGTGGAGAACCACAGAGCTATGAAAAAATCTTGCAAGATGAGAATTCGAGCAAGTGGGAGTTAAACAAGGATGAGACGGATTCCGTGCCAGGGAATCAAACTTGAGAGCTGATAGAACTTCTACCAGGGAAAAAGCATTGCAAAACAAGTGGGTGTACCGGATGAACACTGTACTTGGTCGCAGTAAGAGGTACAATGTTGGACTTGTTGAAAAGGGCTTTCAGCAGACGCAGGATATTGTTCATGCAGTGAGAGTTGTAAGCAGATACAGAAGTAACCCAACAAAGAGCTTGGTGGTACAAAGCTACGTTGACGGTGATGTCAACAGAGGGTGTTACTCGTGAGATTCTGAAGTTATGCTCGACTTCAGCTGTTCTTCTGACATGAAGACGGAGACTTTGAGTTGCAGGGGTGGAGAATATCATGTTTAAGGAAAAGGTCGGTACAGCTAGTAGATAATGCACCTAGTAGGTGATGCAGTCAGTGTTCGAATCTTCAAGTGAGAGAATTGTTAGGTAATGTGGAGACTCGGTCCACCGCAATTTAATTAACTGTTGTTAATTAACTTCCTAATTAAAAATCTCACATACCGCTCACCTACTTTCCCACATACCGCTCACTTACCACAACTCACCTACCGCTCACCTATCTCCCACATACCGCTCTCCTGGTTTCTATAAATAGTCTCTTATGACTTGTCATAAACAAGTCAAGCAAAGTCAAGCTAAGCCAAGTCCTTTAAGAGAGGAAGAGAGAGAGAGAGGAAGGGAGGAAAGAAAATAGAGATTTTCTTGTATATGTCAAGGCGCTCAATGGTGTAATTTCTCGAATAAATAAATTCCTCTGCAGGTCCATGAAAGTAGGCAAATTTGTCAAACCACGTAAATCTGAGTGTCGCTCTTGTGTTTTTCTGCGTTCACTTTATTGTCGTCGTTTTTCACAACAGATCAATTGCTTAAGCACTGTCCATATTTCTGGAACAAATAAATAGGCAAAAGAAAAAGGGTTATTTTAGAAGTTAAGCAGAAGAGTGCAGCATGATAATCAAAGTTAGTATATGAAAATTATGATTTCCTTGACAAACATTTAATATCTCAGGATATACTACTTTATTAACAATTATAAGCAATATCAGCATTTCTACAGGAAATAGTTGAGAGAGAGAGAGCGGAGCTTCGGGAAGTGGGTGGTGTAGCAAGAGGAGTAAACAATTAATAATCAAGGTTAGCATATCAATGCTATGATTTCCAGAAATCCATTCTAATCTCTCAGGGTATAATAAATTTTCCAATTACCATAATTATGCATGCCCAATAACAAGAAGCCTAGCGTGCTCATAAAGTATCAGCTTTCAACAACAAGGGAAGCTTGGGATTTAAACAAGAGAATCAGCAAATGATATTCAAAATTATTAAATGGAATCATGCAATTTCCCCGG